ATGATGGTGAAATTAGGACATTTCCAGATAAACAAAAATTAAGGGGCTATGTATAAACCAAACCAAACTTACAAGAATTATTAAAGGGAGTGCTTCAGTCTGAGAACAAACAACATCAGACCAAAGGCTGAATCTAGGACACAAGATTGTAGCAGCCACGTACCAACCTAGGAAATAAACTCTCAAGGACTATCCAAAACCAAAAGAATTGCAACAGGGAACTGGAGAGGTTAATCTGTAAATGACAAAAACATCAGAACAATAAAAGAGGGAATAAACAGTTTAGGTAGAGAACCTTCTAATGGAGAGGAAGGCAAAGTGATACCAAGTAATAATAGACTTGTTCAAACCTAGGAAGGTAAGGGTAAATTTCAAGGTAACCACAAAGAAAGTTAACAAAACTACTTCATCAAAATAAAGAAGAAAAAGATAAAGTCTCAGTAAAAACAAAATCTACAAAAACAAAAGAAATGGGAAAAAATTCCAGAAACAAAAGTAATTCAGCACAGGAGAGTAAGAGGACAAAGAAAACGTAAGCACCACAAAGAAAAAGCACTACAAAATGACAGCAATAAACTCACACCTATCAATAATGACACTGAATGTAAATGGCCTAAATGCACGCATAAAGAGACAGAGTGAAAGAATGGATAAAAAAAAGGATACATCAATATGCTGTCTACAGGAGACACATCTTAGAAACAAAGATGTAAATTTATTGAAAATCAAAGGATGGAAAAAATATATCAAGCCAACAGCTACGAAAAAAGAGCAGGAGTGGCAATACTAATCTCGGATAAAACAGACTTTAAAACAAAATCCACCATAAAAGACAAAGAAGGGCACTATATCGTGATTAAAGGGATGATCCATCATGAAGACATAACCACAATAAACATTTGCACACCCAGTGACAGGGCTCCAAAATACATAAAACAAACTCTGTAACAGCACTGAAAAGAGAAATTGACAGGCCCACAATAATAGTAGAAGACGTCAACACACCACTCTCGGTAAAGGACACAACATCTAGAAAGAAAACAAATACACAGAAGATCTAAAGGGCACAATCAGCCAACTTGACCTCACAGACATATATAGAACACTCCACCCAACAGCTGCAAAGTACACATTCTTTTCCAACACACATAGAACGTTCTCCAGAATAGACCATATCTTAGGCCACAGAGCAACCCTCAACAAAAATCAAAACACTGAGATAATACAAAGTATCTTCCCCGACCACAGTGCCATCAAGGCTGAAATTAACAACAGGAAGAGCAAGGAAAAAAAATCAATTACATGGGAACTGAATAACACCTTGTTTACAAACCACTGGGTAACAGAAGAAATCAGAGACAGAATCAAAAAATCCCTCGAATCAAACGAGAATGAAAACACATAATACCAAAACCTTTGGGACACAGCAAAGGCAGTCCTCAGCAGTTTACAAACACAATGTAATCCCGATCCAAATACCAACAACATTCTTTATAGAGATGGGAAAAATAATCATGAACTTTGTATGCAAAAGGAAGAAGCCCTGGATAAGTAAAGCACTACTGAAGAAGAATAAACTGGGGGGACTCGCACTACCTGACCTTAGAACCTACTATACAGCTACGATAGTCAACACAGCCTGGTACTGGTACAATGATAGATACATTGACCAATGGAACAGAATTGACAACCCAGATGTAAATCCATCCACCTATGATCACCTGATCTTCGACAAGCGCCCAAAGTCCATCGAATGGGGAAAAGATGGTCTTTTTAACAAATGGTGCTGGCTAAACTGGATGTCCATCCGCAAAACAATGAAACAGGACCCATACCTCACACCATATACAAAAACTAATTCAAAATGGGTCAAAGACCTAAATATAAAGCCAAAAAGTCTAAAGTTCATAGAAGAAAAGATAGGATCAATGCTAGAGGCCCTGACACACAGCATTAACAGGATAGAAACCGTAACCAACAACACAAACTCTAGAAGATAAGCTAGATAACTGGCATCTTCTAAAAATTAAACACTTATGCTCATCAAAAGATTTCACCAGAAGAGTAAAAACAGAACCTACAGACTGGGAAAAAAATTTGGACATTACAAATCAGACAAAGGTCTAATCTTTAAAATCTACAAGAAAATCCAACACCTCTACAACAAAAAGACAAATAATCCTATTAAAAAATGGGCAAAGGAAATGAAAAGACACTTCACCAAAGAAGACACAAGCGGCCAACAGACACATGAGGAAATGCTCGTGATCACTAGCCATTAAGAGAAATGCAAATCAAAACCACCATGAGATACTACCTCACCCCAGCATTACTGGCACGACTCAGAAAAACTGGAAATAACAAATGTTGGAGAGGCTGTGTGGAGACTGGAACTCGTGTGCACTGCTAGTGGGAATGCAAAATGATACAACCATTTCGGAAAATGATATGGCACTTCGTTAGAAAGCTAGAAATAGAAATACCATATGATCCAGCAACCCTACTCCTAGGAATATATCCTAGAGAAATAAGAGCCGTCACATGAATAGAGGTATGCACACCCATATAAATTGCAGAATTGTTCACAATAGCAAAAAGATGGAAACAACCTAGATGCCCATCAACAGATGAATGGATAAACAAACTATGGTACATAAACACAGTGGAGTATTACGCAACAATAAAGAATAACGATGAATCTTCGAAGCATCTCATAACATGGATGAATCTGGAGGGCATTATGCTGAGTGAAATAAGTCAATCACAAAAGGACAAATATTGTATGAGACCACTACTGTAAAAACTCATGAAAAGGTTTACACACAAAAAGAAACAATCTTTGATGCTTACGAGGGAGGGGAGGGGTGGTGGGGGAACACTAAATAGACAATAGAAAAGTGGTATCTTTAGTGAAGGGTAAGGCAGTACACAATACTGAGGAAGCCAGCACAACTTGTACAAGGCAAGGTCATGGAAGCTCCATAGACATCCAAACTCCCTGAGGTTCTGAACTGCTGGGCTGAGGGCTGTGGGGACCATGGTCTCAGGGAACACCTAGCTCAATTGGCATAACATAGTTCATAAAGAAAATGTTCTACATTCTACCTTTGCTGAGTAGTGTCTAGGGTCTTATAAGCCTGTGAGCAGCCATCTAAAATACTCCACTGGTCTCATCCCTTCGGGAGCAAGGGAGAATGAAGAGAACAAGATACAAGGGAAAGATTAGTCGAAAGGACTAATGGATCACAACTACCACGGCCTCCACCAGACTCAGTCCAGTACAACTAGATGGTGCCCGGCTACCACCACTGACTGCTCTGACAGGAATCACAACAGAGGGTCGTGGACAGAGCTGGAGAAAAATGGAGAACAAAATTCTAACTCACAAAAAAAGACCAGACTTACTGGCCTGACAGAGACTGGAAAAACCCTGCGAGTATGGCCCCTGGACACCGTTTTAGCTTGGTAATGATAAAGTCACTCCTGAAGTTCACCCTTCTGCCAACGATTAGACAGACCCATAAAACAAAACGAGACTAATGGGGCTCAACAGACCATGGACAAGGACTGGAAGGCAGGAAGGGACAGGAAAGCTGGTAATTGGGAATTTCCAAGGTCTAGAAGGGAGAGTGCTGACATGTCGTGGGGTTGTTAACCAATGTCATAAAACAATATGTGTACTGTTTAATGGGAAACTATTTGTTATGTCACCATCTAACGTAGAATAAAAAAAAAGAAAACAACCACATTCAGTTTGGTAGCTTAATTACTATTTAATATTTCCAAACTGGTGGCAAAAAAAAAAAAAAAATCAAAACATATATCAACCTAGCAAATAAACCTCACCAAAAAGTCACTACCCACTGTTGCATTTTACTGATTTGTTATACATTAAGTACTTTACAACATGCCTATGGCATTTTTGTAATCATAGGAAGGAAATTCTACTTACAAGCTATAAAGCTTTAACTTATTAAAACTCGTACTTCCAACATGAAAAGTATAAGTGACAAAAGAAAAAATACATAAATTGGACTTCATCAAAATTAAAAACTTATGCTTCAAAGGACACTACTAAAGTTAAAAGGTAGCTCACAGAATGGAAGAAAATATTTTCAAATCATATCTGACACGCGATTTATATTCAAAATGCATAAAGAACACTTACAAAAAAGAAGATAAATAACCCCATTAAAAACAGGCAAAGGAACTGAGTAGACATTTCTACAAATGTGGCCAAAAGCACATGAAAAGACACTCAACATCAGTAGTCATCAGGGAAATGCAAATCAAAACTACCTCAGGATGGCTATAATCAACAAAACAGAAAATAAGTTTTAGCAAGGATGTGGAGAAACTGGAACCCTGGCATATTCCTAGTAGCACTTTATGGTGCAGGTACTTTGGAAACAGTCTGGTAGTTTCCTAAAATGTTAACCATAGTTACCATGTAGCTATGTAATTCCACTCCTAGGTATAATCCCAAGAGATGAATAGAAAACTTATGGCCATGTAAAAACTTGTACATGAATGTTCACAGTAGCATTACTCATACAGTCAAAAAATGAAAAGAACCCAAATGTCCATCAACTGATGAATGGATAAACAAAATGCGGTGTATCCATACAATGGAATATTATTCAGCAATAAAAAGTAATAAAGTACTGACAGATACTACAACATGACTAAACTTTGAAAATATAATGTTAAGTGAAAGAAGCCAGTCACAAAGGATGACACACTGTATGATTCCATTTCTATGAACAGTCAAGAATAGGAAAATTTACAGAGACAAGCCAGGACGTGGAGGAGGAGAGAATGGGGAGTGACTGCTAACGGGTATGTGGTTCTTTTGGGAGTGATGAAAATGTTCTGGAATTAGACAGGGATGATGGTTGCACAACTGTAAAAATACTTAAAAAAACACTGAATTTTATACTTTAAAACTGAATTTTATAGTATTCAAATTATATGTCAGTAAAGCTGTTATTAAAAAAAAACCCACCAACAACAAAAACTCTGATTTTTTATCAGCTCTTTTGTATTTATGAAGTTTCCAAAATATATGGGTTGAAACTTACCTCAAACCTTATCTCCCAACTCTCCTCCTCAAACTTTTTATTGTAATCTGTTGGTTTCTGAAATAATATAGTATTATTAATTAATAAAATCACCTTTAACTATATGGTATTGTTTTAAAACACTTTCATATTTTATCCCCACAAAAACTTGGATGCATGTCCTTGTTGGCATTAAGTGATTCCAGGCTAACTATATATATATATATATATATATATATATGCAATATATATATATATAATATATATATATATAAAACACATATATATATGTAAAAATCAAACCCACTGCTGTCAAGTAGAACTGTCCCATAGGGTTTCCAAGGCTGTACTCTCTATGGGAGCAGACTGTCACATCTTTCTCCTGTGGAGCGGCTGGTGGGTTCTAACCGTCAACCTTTCAGTTAGCAGCCAAGCACTTAACCACTGTGCCACCAGGGGTCCTAACTATAGGAAACCTTAATGTTCTGAGTAATTTTTAATATTTCAACCTAGGACTCTTCAAAATTATGCTAAACACGTCAGTGGTAATTAGTTGATTATAAGAGAGTGGGAGCTCTTGACTTCTCTTTATAGTGGTCACATTAGAGCGTACAACCGGAAAAGAGCAACTAAGTAATCTTTATATACCAGTTTAATAGAGATAGCAGCTTTTACACATGCACACACACACACACACGCATGCGTACATGCACACACACATGCACATGCATAGGTACACACACACTCTCCTCTGCTCACAAGAAAAAATTGGCAGTGAGGATTACATGTATAAAGTAATATCACAGTTTCTATTTGAAAGAAGAATGTATTTTTCTATACTGAGTAGAAAACTCAATGTTTGGTTGCTGACTATCACTAAAATGAATATTTAAAAATCTAACAACTCTAACTCTAGAAATAAGAATATATTTCTATATAAAATGTTAATTTTAGTTATGATGCATACCCTATTTCCATAAAGGATTTATGGCAACTTGCAATGTGAAACTATATCTACAAAGAGCTATTATGATTTTAAAAATATGAAAAATAAAACCACTAGGTAACTGGAATAGGCTATTTATGAAGCTAAGCTCAAAATCTAGCTGAGTTTCCTATAAGAAGGCAGAAAGGAAGAAACGTTACAATATATGGCTCTTCTGTCAAGAAGAAGGAGAAAACAACCATTTTATCTGGGGAGAGAGGCCTTTTCTGGCTGTGAATTCTATGAAAGTTTATAATGTACATCCTTACACTGAAACAACATTAGATAATAACATAATGGACTCTATATTAGGTTTGTAAGGTACAGAAACAGAAACATTATTTATTGAATCTTAATGCAATTAAAGTCTTTCTTCAGGGCATTTATAAAACATGATAGAGTATATTGCTTTTTCAATAAAGAATTTACACATTATGTAGACTCTTTTAAAGTATCACATACCTAGAATGATATTTAACAGGGTACAAGACAAAATGTGACATTTAATTAAAATAAATAGTTCACTTACTTCTTTCAATATTTCCTCAGAATGTTCAAATGTACAATATTTATGGTGTGCCATAAAAAAAGAAAGTGACATTCCATCAATATAGAGATGAACAGATAACTTCCCCCATGGATTTTCAGGTAATTTCTATAAATTCAATAAAGAAGATTATTATTATAAAAATAAAGTCTACTTGACTAAAATTTTATAGTTGGCCAATATGAAAGTATGACAATATGACAATCAGAGTATTACCACTGTTTGACTAATGACCTGATGCATAAAATTATCTTCCTGCTATTTTGGCGGGTTTTGAGACAGTAATTCTACTAGTTTGGTTTATATAAAGCATATTTACATGTTCATAAGGTATAAAGTTTTCCAGTTATTTACTTCTATACATTATCTTTAAATGGTGTTAGCAATTTATACCAAGTAGGAGAAAGAAGGAAACCCTGGTGATGCACTGGTATAAGAGCTATGGCTGCTAATCAAAAGGTCAGCAGTTTGAATCCACCAGGCACTCCTTGGAAACCCTATGGGGCATTTCTACTCTATCCTATAGGGTTGCTAGGAGTTGGAATCGACTTGACGGCAATGAGTTTGTTTCTTTTTTTTTTTTTTTGGAGAAAGAAAAAGTATGCTCAGAAGTGAAGAAATGAAGTTTAGTTAAAAATCAAAAATTGGAGGAGGTGGTCCAAGATGGCGGAGTAGTTAAGACACTTCAAAACGTCCCTCTTACAGTAAGGGCCAAAAAAACCAAGTGAATTGGATGTAGGTGAAAACTTAGGAATCCTAAGCATCAAAGACAAGAATAAGAATCCGAGTGAGCACCAAAGGGAAGAAGAGACAATACAAAAACAGGGGAAACAGAGAATCTGGGATTGCCAGCACCCTGTTAGCCAAACCCGAACAGCGGGGACATACTGAAACAAAGCAAACGTCATTCCCAGCTGAAACCCCCACCATCTGGTGCAGCCAAGTAGGAGTGATTCTGCACACATGTCCAGAGCAAGACAGGAATGCTTCCTGTCCTGTGAAAGTTAACAGCATGCACCCCATTCACAACACGCACCCCAGCTCCCCATGCTGGAGATTTGTGGGCCTGTGGGGCACTCCCACCACCTCTCATCTGTCCCCTCCTCCCTGATTGTGACAGCAGCCTGGTGGCTCCCACACTGCCCTGCTCCCTAAGCTGGGAGCCCACGGTCAAGAGGCACCTACCCCTTCACTCAGCCACTTGCACCGGGAGCTCACGGTTCGCCCTCCAGTCACCTGTGGGGTGCCCTGCTAGCTGGGCCTGCATAGCGCGGCCATACTGAGACAAAGCAAGTAGCATTTTCAGCTGAAACCCCCACCATCTGGTGCAGCGAAGCAGGAGCAACTCTGCATTCACGGCCAGAGGCAGGTAAGAGTGCTTCTCGCTCTGTGAAAGTCAAGTGCATGCACCCCACACACCACACCCACCCTAGCCCCTCGTGCCAGAAGTATGCATGCTTATGGGGTGCCCCCATCCTTCTCACCCCATCCCCCCATCCCACTCACAAGTGCAGCCCAGCTGCTCCCACCACTGCCCCACCCCCTAAGCTGAGGGCCTACGGTCTGAAGGTGCCTGCCCCTTCGCTTAGCCACTCACACCAGAGGCCCATGGTCCTGCACTGACTTCTCCCTCCAGTCTCCCATGCTGGTGGCCTGCTAGCCAAGCCTGCACAGCGTGGCCATATTGAGACAAAGGACGCAGCATTCCCAGCCAAAAGCCCCATCACCTGGTGCAGCCAAGAAGGAGCAATGCTGCATTCACAACCAGAGCCAGGCAGGAGTGCTTCCTGCTTTCCGAAAATCAGGTGCACACACCCCACCCACCGAGCCTACCCCAACCACCTGTGCCAGAAGTACACAGGCTTGTAGGGCACCCCTACAAGCTCAGTCCACTCATCCCCACTCCCTGCTTGTGAGCAAATTCTGGCAATTATCACCACTGCCCTGTCCCCTAAGTCAGCAGCCCACAGTCTGGAGGCACCTGCCCCTTTGCTCAACCACTTGTGCCAGGGTCCACGGTCTGTAACTGCTTTCTGCCCCCTCCAGTCACCCATGCATGCATGCTGCTAGCTGAACCTGAACAGCCCAGCCATATTGAGACAAAGCAAGCAGCATTCCAGCTGTAACCTCCATCATATGGTGCAGCCAAGCAGGAGTGACTACATTCATGGCCAGAGCCAGGCAGGAGTGCTTCTCACTCTGCTCACACCTGCTGGTGCCCTGCTACTTGAACTTGAACAGTGTGGCCATACTGAAACAGAGCAAGCAGCATTCCCAGCTGAACCCCCATTACCTGGTGCAGCCAAGCAGGAGCAACTCTGCACTCACAGCTAGAGATAGCCACCCACACCAGGATCCTGAGGACTGGAGGCTCCATCTACACCCTACAGTAACCTGCACTGAGGGCCTGAGGACTGGTTGCACAACCTCCTCCATGACATGCTCTAGTGGACAGGGCACACCCTCCAACCTGCCTCCCACAGACAGGTGATATCACCTCTGCCTTACTCCCTGCGTTGTCCCTCCTTGCATCTGGAGGCTTGTGCTCACTCTTAACACCTCCATGCAGCCCCTGCCCACCTGAACCGTTGGTGAGAGTTTCCGCACAACCCGCCTGGTGACTGACGACCCGGGCACCCTCACCACTGACCACCCAGCAATCAGCAGAGCACACACACAACACCAAACCCAGCGACCAGGGAGATTGCCCCCCGTACCCACAGCGAGGTGACCGACCAGACAGATAACACCACCTCACCAGAAATGCCACCGACATCCTCAGTAGCCCCAAAAGACCAGCAAAAAGTGACTGAACACCAAACCCAGCGACCAGGGAGAATGCCCCCGGTACCCACAGCGAGGTGACCGACCAGACAGATAACACCACCTCACCAGAAATGCCACCGACATCCTCAGTAGCCCCAAAAGACCAGCAAAAAGTGACTGGCGCTCACACACCCAGTCGCTGCTCCACCCACCTGGAGACAGGAGGTAAGAGCTTCAAAACAACCAGATTAGTGATCACAGCAACACACACACCTAGCCTACTTGGATATATCAAAACAAAAGAAAAATTCAGGAAACAGCAAACAAACATACAATCCGTAAATTCAATTAACTTCTTGATGCCTTGGAGGCAAGAGACAATATCAAATCACATGCAGAAGACAAGATGGTACCAGCAAGTGACCAAAATAAAGAATCAAAAAACCTCCCAGAGAAAGAAACAGCAATGACATAAAGAATTCAAAAGACTAATATACGGGGTTCTCCAAGAGATCAAGGAAAACACAGACAAAATCAAGGACAGCACAGACGAAGCAACAGAAGAATTCAGGAAAATACAAGAACAAAATGACAAAAATAAATAGACAAATAGAAACCATAAAAAAACAGCAACTAGAAATCCAAATGATTAATAATAATATTTAGAAAAAGATAACTCAACAGAAGGATATAGGAGCAGAATTGAAACAAATTAGCGAAATTGAAGACAAATCCCTTGACACCAATTTGTTTGAGGTAAAATCAGAAAAAGAATGAAGAAAACCCAAGAATTATGTGGGACACTATCAAAAGGGAAAACTTGTGTGTGATCAAAGTTTCAGAACAGCGGGGGAGGGGGGTGGGGTGGGTGGCTGGGTGGAAAACCCAGAGAGAATTCTTGAAGAAATGATGGCAAAAAACTTCCCTAACATTGTGAAAGACAAGATATCCATCCCAAGAAGCTCAATGAACCCTATACAGGATAGACTCCAGAAGAAAGTCACCCAGACATATCATAATCAAACTTGCCAAAACCAAAGACAAAGAAAGAATCCTGAGAGCATCTTGAGAAAACAAAACATCACCTACAAAGGGGAACCAATAAGACTAAGCTCTGATTACTTGTCAGAAACTATGGAGGCAAGAAGGCAACTGTATGGCACATATAATACTTTGAAAGAAAAAAAATGCCAACTGAGAATTATATATCCAGCAAAACTGTCTCTCAAATACAATGGTGAAATCAGGACACTTTCAGATAAACAGAAATTAAGGGTATTTGAAAAAAGCAAACCAAACTTACAAGAAATATTAAAGGCAGTCCTTCGGATAGAGAACCAACATCAGACAACAATCTAAGATTTGTACACAGGATACCAACCCAGATAAAGAATTCTCAAAAATAAAACAAAGCTAAAAGAGTGAAAACAGGGAACCAGAGACATGAATATGTAAACAATGACAATGTCAAAACAAAAAAAAAAGGGGAATAAATGGTGTAGTTATAGAACTTTCATATGGAAAGGAAGTCAAGGGGATATCAAGAAATAAAAGACTGTTTTAAACTTAGGAAGATAAAAGTAGATTTCAAGGTAACCACAAAGTTAGTTACCAAACCTAACCATCAAAAGGAAAAAAAAGAAAAACTAAGACTTAATAAACAAAATCAACAATGACAGAGCTCCAAAATACACAAAACAAACTCTAACAGCACTGAAAAGGGCAATAGACAGTTCCACAATAACAGTAGGCAACTTCAACACACTACTTTCGGTGAAGGACAGAACATCTAGAAAGAAACTAAACAAAGATATAGAAGATCTAAATGCTACAATCAACCAACTTGACCTCATATACATATACAGAACACTCCACCAAACAGCAGCAAAGTTCACATTTTTTTTCAACGCACATAGAACATTCTCCAGAAGAGACAACATTTTAGGCCACAAAGCAATCCGTAACAAAATCAAAAACACTGAATTAATACTAGCATTATCTCTGATCACAACACCATAAAAGTGGAAATTAATAACAGGAATAACGAGGAAAAAAAATACATGGAAACTGAAAGTCATGGATTGAATTGTGTTCCCACAAAGTATGTGTCAACTTGGTTGGGCCATGATTCTCAGTGGTCTCACAATTATGTAATGATGTAATCATCACCCATCATGTGATCTGATGTGATCAGCCAATCAGTTGTACGGGGATTAGGGTGGGATGCAACACTCTTACTCAGGTCACAGCCCTGATTCGATGTAAGGGGAGTTTCCCTGGGTTGTAGCCTGCATCACCTTTTATCTTAAAAGAGATAAAAGGAGAGAGAAGTGTGTGAGAGA